CTTTAACCTTTAAAACCCTTCATGGATTGAGACAGTTACCTTAAAGATCCCTGTCATTACGCATACCTACCTGCATATTCATATGTTCAACAAAAGCCCTCTTCTCCACAGTGCTATAGTTGTCTTTATATGGTGGTGTGGTGGATCAGGCTGACTGGTTGTGGCCTCAGTCACTACTATCAACTTACTTTGCTTGGATCAGAGAGATCTGCTTGGTTGGTAGGTACCCTGCTGCAGTTCTAGCAGCCTTGGGGAGGTGAACCACTTCCAGCTAACACAAGACAACTCCATGATTTGGAGAAAATGTGAAAGTAGAGCTTCTGCGGATGTCAGAAATTTGGAGTCAGCTGGAGTGGTTAACCAAAAGAGGAGGGGCTTGGCCATATTTACCTCCATTCTGTGACAGGTCAGCAACAGAGAATAGAAGCTAGGCAGAGCAGAACCATCACCAGAACAATTACTTGGCTGCCAGAAAGGAAGTAAATAGCAGTGACAGGGTTTGGCTAAATATGCCAGGGGCAAGACACACATAAAGCAGTAGGAATGATCTTTTCTGCAGTACAGACAAGGGGACAGTGACTTGAAACAAACCTGACATTTCCTCACTTAGAGGAACTAAGGAACCTATCATTGAAGGTAACTGGGCAGATTTGACTTAAGTTTGTCCTCTTTCCCATCCGCTAATTTGAACTTGAATACTCCGTTTGGCCATTATTTACATTAACGAAGAGAAGCAGCACTGTTGAGGAATTCAGCAAAGGCCACTAGCATTGTGTGTTGGTGGTATTTCATAGTGCTGATTCCCACAGGAACCCCAGGGCCCTCTTCTTCAGTGAATGGTGCTCAAGGTTCCTGCCATGAAAAAAGCAATTAAAGCACATACCATGAAACATCCCTTACAAGATACGAAGTATTTACATCTAGAACAAGGGTGGGAAACTTGTCTTCCAGATGTTCTGGCTTATAACTGTCATCTCTTACCATTGACTGTGCTAGCTAGGACAATGAAAATGCGAAGTCAAGACATCTGAAGAACCACTGGGGACCCACTCCGAACATGGAGGTTTAATTTCCTTAAAATATATATTTTTCCATCTTTTCAAAAATGTTTTACTTTGCTTAAAACCAACATCTTATCAGTTAATGCTTAGATAATGTTATATTTTCCCTATCATTCAGAAAATAAACATGTGCAAAGAAGTATGACAGCTCAGTAAATAAAGCACTTCTCAAAACTATACCTGTTATTTACAGTGTCACAGGTAAGTACCTTTTCTAGATTTCATTATCCAATATAAGGTCTTATAAGCAGATGGCCTAAGTATGGAAATTTTGTAACTATAATGCTCTATAATTATAGCACACTATAATTTACAGTGTAGTCAACCACTGAACAGGTAAACTTTACACTCCTATCTATGTAGTTAAATCCTGACAGCTACATTTTCAAATTAAAAAGCTGTTTTAGAAGAAGTGCAGAATAAAGGGTTCCTATGCCCACCAGTTCTCTGCTCTATATCTGCACTCAGTGGGACCTGTATAGAATGGGAGTAGAGATATAATGCAGAAGAACTGAAGGCCTGGGAAGAATTAAAACTCCTCTGCTTTTGTTTGCATTATAATGTATTTTTAATCCATAGTGAGGTAAACAGTATATAACAATTTGTAGTTAAGAAAAATATGTCTTTGTTGTATTAGAAATAAACTCTTTTATTTTCTTGGATTGAATTTTCATCAGTGATCATCCAGATACTTCCAGGAATTCACAAACAGATCATGAATATGATGGCATCTTCTTGCTGTTGTTTCTGATACCTGGAGTTCAGAAAGGCAATGAAGAAAGCAGTCTTCTATATTTTAATATCTGCTGTAATTCACCCAAAGCAAGACCTTTCCGAGGCTTAAATATAGCTCCAGGTTCAGCTATTGTAGCAACAAGTAGCATGGAAGATCAGAAGATGGAAAGTCTCTTCATGGATGACACATAGACCTGCTGTCTTGACCCCTTTCCTTAGCAGAAATTTTTCAATATTCTGTTTCTTTGTGGTAAAAAATGCAGTAAACATCCAATACACATGATCCTATGGATATAGATAAATAATCTTTTGGTTTATATGCTTATGTTATGCATGCTCAGTTATATTACATCAGTAAGCAAGAGCTGAATCACACGTCTCAGGTGGCAAATTTCAGACACGGTTAAATAGTGTTCCATTATAATTTTATTTATGCTATCTGTTTTGTGTGACTGCTGGGTTAAGTAATATACCCTCTCACTGTTTTGTATGTTAGTGTGAAAATCAGTGAAATGATGTAGTATAAAGTTTTCTCAGCTGAAGTAAATTACTCATTTTTAAAGATCTAAATTACAGCTTTTCTGCACTGAAAAAAGGATTAACACTTTCGTTACACTTCTTTCTGAGTGATCACCCCACCCCCATATTAAACCAAGAGAAATACAGTTATGATATAATGTAACTAGGCATCTATGCTAATAGTATGGAAATAGATGTGTCATAAATTACTGGAACAACCCTGAATTCCCCTATATAGGCAACACTCACAATTTTAGACTTGGTGTGTGGGAGGTGAGGGGGCTACACTTGCAGCATATCTTCATTATAAACATAACTGTTCTATTGAAACCACTTTGTGGCAGTCTTCACATAATATTGACATGTTAAAATGTGAATCTTCTGCTGTAGTTTTCCTTGAAGACACTTGTTCAAACGTCTTTGAAGAACTGATGCACAATGCATGATCATTGTTTTGGTCAGCACCACTGTTAGTAATTTTATCTTGCCTCTTTAATGGGATGGACTCTTTTGGAAACATTCTCTGAATCAAATTAAATTGTTCTACAATTCTGAAAATCCTGCATTACTCCTAATTGTATGTATGTAGTTTCTAAGTGGTACATACAAATGTCATCTTCACACCATTGATATTATAGAGGCCTCTCACAAATTCAAGGCTGAGCTCTGCACTGGAAGCAGGCTGATTTCTGCTAGCATCATTCTCTTTCAGCACTATGGAACAGATCCAGATGAAGAGATATCTGCATTTTGCAGCTTAACTAGGAGATTTAGAGAAGTAAAACAAAAAACCTCAAACAAACAAAAACCCCTTGGCCCTAAATCCTATCCAAATATTACTATAACCTGGATTATCAGCATTCTGGATCACATGAAGAGCTTGCATAGATATAGACTGTCTATCTCAGTCAGTCTGTGTGTGTAGTGGGTGCTGAAAGTGACAGCATGGGGGTGGGGCAAGTGTGTTCCTCCTTGTGTATTGTCAGTTTCTGAATACCTAAATGAAAAGCCAGGAATTGAGGACAGCAGAATTGAAGTGGAGAGGACAGTGTGTGATTATTGTGTGGGTGCAAGGAAGGTGTTTGCATGTCTGCATTTCCTGAGGGTGGGTGGTGTGTTTGTCTTTGGGAGTGTCTTTGAATATGCCTTGTGTGTAAGATAATGTTCTATGTGAAATGGCCAACTGTGTGTGGGGAGGGAAGGGAAAGTGTATCCCATGTTGCTGATTTAGAATAGGAGACATATTGATAAACATTTCCAATGGAAAAAGGAAACCAGAACCATGCACCAAGCTCACCCATCTCTACCCATCTTTTGTCACTGATCTTCATAACAAATGCAAAAAAAAAAAAAAAAAAAAAAAAAGCTGTTTTCAAAGTTGTAAGTACAATAAAATCCTGATTTTCATGTGATATTTTGTTTCAGCTACAATTACTATAGTAGTTTTGAGACTCATAAAGTAACACTATGTGGCTTTTGGTTTTATTTAGGTTTCCACTTTAAACTGTCAGAGGATTAAAAGTATACTTATGCTATTATAAGTGTATAGAACATCAGGCTTTGGTGATGAGTGAAGAAAGTAATTCATGTTGAATTATCTGAGGAATTAATTCTGTGGGACATCTTGTTAAGAATAAAAAAATACGCTGTTGGGGGAGAGGAACACATTGCAATATTTAACCATTTAAGATGGTTGTGTGGTGTTTGCTGGCCTGATCTTAAGCTTTTAAAAAGTCCCTGAAGACCTGCTTGATTACCTTGGCCTTCTCTTGACTTGGCCTTCTCTTGATTTTCCTGGACTATTCTTCTCTGTAGCTGTAGAGTTTAGTGCTGTTTATTGCAGGTATCTGGGAGGTTTTATGAATGCTTATGGCTTTCTTATTTTTAGTTTAAATGTTTATGAATTTTGAACTTTTTACAAATTATGAGCTATATGAATTTTTATGTGTCTTAGGAGGGTCTCTGTCCTAAAAGGTGCCAAGAAATATTTTAAAGTTTAGGTTATCGACATGCCTAATGGGATTATTTATGCACACACACCCAGGTATGCATCAAACACAGCAAGATTGTAAATTATTCAATATACGGCCCAGCCTCTGCCGCAATGTCTTTACATCTATAGCTATATGTATGTTCCCTTTATAGTTAAAGCTCCACATGAGGAAAAAAGCATATGCAAGCAATGTAATAATTCAAAACAGTTTATAATATAGTTAACACCCTTGTAATATAGGCACAAATATAGCAATTCACCAAAAAAAATCAACTGAAATGTATCATGAGCAAAGACAAAAACCTGAAACACATGGCCTTTAGTCCTGCATAAAACACCAGAACACGAAGAGGGGGCCTAGCAAATCTGGTCTATGGAATGATGCCTCTGCAACACTGGGATAACGCTAAACTGCCCCAAGACATTGCCTCTTCGCCAGAGGTGCGCCAAATGGGGTAGCGAACTGTTACTACAATCGTTTATCTTATTTCCCACGATTTAACTCAGTAGGGCGTATTTCTGAGCAAGCATTAGGCAGTTGCACTGTGTGAAATTACGTTGCTTAGAGGCTTTTAATGATTTAAAGCAAGTTTCCATAAAGAGTTGAAAATTATCTCATGACCTTGCTATTATCTCTCGCCCGAGACTCTCGCCAACAATAAGCACTGTACTGTCGTTTCGAAACAATACAATAAAATCCAGGAGTTCCTCACGACGGGTCTACGGCACCGATCCTTTTTCACAGAAGGTGCGGGAAATAGCCCGAAACGTGCTACACACCATCTCTATACAAAGAAATCGGCGGTCCTTTGCAAAAGCCTCCGAAGCACGAGCGCGGCCAGATCCAGCGCGCGCTTCTCGCCAACGCCTTTTCGCGCCGGCACGCGCAGTTCCGAGATCCAACGCTCCCTCCGCCGCCTCGCCTCAGCCCGGAGTCATGCAACGATCGCCCTGGCGGCCTCGGCGGCTCTGGGGGGCACTGACGCTCCTGCGCCTGCTGCTCTCGGGATCGCTGGGTGCGTACCGCATCATCCCCGCCTTTTCTCAGGCGGAGTCTCCGGCGGTCGCCCACTCCCTTGCGTCCCTGCGCTTGGTCGCCCTCTTATTCGCGCCGTACGCCGCGCTACTTCACGTGGGAAGGCGTGCGCCCTCGCGCGACTCGGGTTAAATTTCCGGGCGTCTGAGGCGAGCGTAAGCGATGCTGAGTCTTGCTTCAGACACCGTGCGAGATCCTCGAGTTTCACGCTCCCGGCCTGAGGAGGGGTTCGTGGGTGGTGGGAGGGTCCACCCCGGCCCTCATACAGTGAGGCGCGGCGGGATGCGCTGGGCCCTGCCTCCCGCTCAGCGCTCTCGGGGCAGGGGCAGGACTTCCTGCTTGGTAAATATGCATGGGGAAAGCCTTCAGCTTCCCGTGGAATAAGCGTGGCATCTGTTGCAGCAAAAACAAAATAAAAACAGAGAGCCCTGTGTTTCCGTAAGAACCTACCAGATTTATGGTGGCTTATCCTTCTGTAGACTAGGGTCTACATCATTGGATGTAGTGTTTTGCATCCTTTTGACAGTCAACTGAAAAGACGAACCGTTTACCTTGCTTCGCCGGTGCTGACTGTTCACAGCTATTATATTTATTTGGCTTACTAGCTGGGGATTGGCCGCATTCAGGATACTATCCAATATTAGTCCTCTTTAGTGTGGGTCCATTTAAATGAATGAGATTTAAGTTAGAACCATTTTAAGTCTCATTCATTTTACTGGGTCTATGCTACATAGATGCGCACATGTATCAATTTTGCTGTGTGTTATGTGGTGGAAAGCTGTAATTAGATATGCCTTTATTTGATTTCATTTTTATTCCACCGAATAGCCGAGGCTCTCTGGGCAGTTAATAGTTAAAAAGACACAGATTAATTTAAAAGAACAAAACTATAATAGTAATTGCTGTTATTCAGCACAGAAGCATAGCAGTAACAGAATAAAATAGACTATATAAAAACAAAGTTTAAAAGTTAGACTGTTAAAATGCTGGGAAAATAAATTCTTCACCTGGTACTGAAAATAGAAAATAGGCATCAAGCACACCTCTATGGGGAGGTCATTCCAAAATTGGGGTGCCACAAATTAAAAGGCCTCCTTCTGGTAGCCACCCTCCTCATTTCCTTTAGAAGGGGCTCCCAGCAAAGGATTCCCAGAGCGAACCTATATTGAGAATATTTGGCTTTCTCTTGACTATTCTCTCTTACTCTCCATTCAGACTGTTGCCAAATTGTATTGCTCTCTCTCTACAATACTGCAAATGTCAGTAAAAATTCTGATTCATGTTCTAGTCATCTCTTACCTTGGGATGCTCTCTGTGGAGGGATCCTACTACAAGCAATCAGGACTCATTGTGCAGCTTTTCTGTTTTCCTAATTTGACGTTTTATTCCCCCCCCCCCAAAAAAAAACCACACAAACAAATAGAAACTGGAAAAACACTGGAAGATTGCAATGTTACCTGGTAGGCTCTCAATCGCAAAATCTCAGTCCCACACAATCCTGAATCCTTGTGCTCTGTAGTATATTTATAATTAAACAGATAATCAGGATATCAGATCTATTACAGAGTCAACTTTCTTTACCTAGGCTGCAGCTTCTCATATTCTCTGACATTCCACTCTGCTGCTCAATCTTTGGGCTATGGCAGGTCTCTGAAAAAATAAAATCACTGTTGTCTAGATTTGTTTTTTAAAGCAGCCAGATGTTAATCTTCCTCACTAGGGTGCTTCTGTTACATTGCTTGCACCTTCTAACTCCTGGTGGCAGATCCAAGAACTACAGTGGGTAGGTGATGGAAGGAATGTTTATAAAGTTCTGTTTTGTTAATTGACTATTTCAACTACCATTCTGTTGTTACCTGCCCTGATCTGATACTGTTCAGCAGACTATCAAAATAAATAACTTTAATGTATTTCAAGGTTACAAAGATTAGAGGTGATAATGATTTTTTTGGAATATCATTAATACAAAACCCAGAAAAAATATAGGATAGGCTAGTGCTATAGCTTTAAATTAGATAAGTTAATAGGCATAATGCTGTTGCTTTGTCCCCAGCTGCCCTATAAGGGTAACCTCTTTGAGTAAGTGGATATGTGTGAGAATTCAAACTGCTTATATTGGAAGATAATGGTTTTTATTTTATGCTTTGCTTATGAATTTCTTCCTACTGGTTGCAATGGGAAGTGATTTATGTTCAGTTAGCTTCAAGATAGTCTACATTTCCTCTAATTTCAGTGTCATGTCATGGGAACGGGTATGCTATGGGCATTGTGGAACTAATCCTCCTCTCAATCCCAGAAATTTCCATGGAATCAGGAGTATCAGAGAGGCAAGGACATAAGATGTTTTCCACAGTGGTTGGGAATACTTTGTGAGAATGATTTTCCCTCTGTGTTGGACCCTGCTCTATGGGTATCCTTGAAATGGGAGATGTAAATATTGTACAGCCAGTGGAGCGTCCTCCTAGTAACCATAGGATTGTAGCTTGTATGTTTTAAAGCTATTGTGTGAAGTGTCAAAATTGGCAGTGCTAGCAAATGTAATCTACAGTAAAAAATACATTGGGTATGAACTTCTAGCAGTCAGCAACTTGACTGAAGCACTATATTTCATCAAGTGCAGCCACACCTAAAGATAAGCCCAATTACAGAAGTGAGAAAATAATTAAAATACAAGATGTATCTTTATTGTGGAGAATTTATGTGCTTGAACAGAACCTATGTGAACAGAATGAACAGAACCTATGCAAGAGAACATGTGCTCATTTTAATGGAGTTTGCATAGGAAAAATTTCATGGAAATTGAGCCTTAAATAAAGACATTTTGTTAAATGCACTTTTCATATTTTACTCTCATATGTATATGTTAGTGTTTTCTCGATTACATTTGGTATATTAATTTGCCCAAACCCAATTTTTTGTAATAATACCCACCAGAACAAGTACACCAAAATGGTTTTACTCCTGCAGATTTATATAGCAACTATCTATTGTCTTTTAAAGTTTTTTCAGATGATTGTGCTACTGCTGACTTGCCAGAGTTTCCAGCTTCTGAACCAGACCTTGATAAACTTCCAGCTGTTCTTCCAAACCATCATGCTGTTACTTACAGATGCAAACCCGGTTTTAAACTGGTCCCTGTAAGGTTAAACACCACTATATGCACTAAAGGTGTCTGGTCACCAATACAAGATATTTGTGGCTGTATGTATTACTCTAAAAAAGTTCTAAAATTATTTTTGTTATCTTCAAAATATTATTCTAAGAATAAGTACTATGTAAAACATTGAGGGTCTCTCATTATTCTATAGTTGTGATTGTATTCATGTTCACCTGAAAATAAGCTTCGCTGAAATTGGAGGAATATCTAGGTAAATGGCTTCAGACTGTTGTAAATCTGTGGTTCTTTTTAATATGCATTCTGTTCAGAGATTTCAGTTGTTGCAGTATACAGATGATGTTAATGAACATAAAAAGTCCCACAGATCATGATGGTATCTTAGTTTCTTTGGCATTTCAGCTAATGAAAATAAGTAGCTACTGATTTACATTTGAGAAATTGATTTGATTCAATGCATGTTCATTTGGAAATAAGGGTTACTAAATTTAGTGAGATTATTGAAATTGCTATGCATCAGTTATAGTCTGTGTCAGTGTTTTCAGCAGTACTTAAAACCTTTGAAAAATTAAAGGCTTCCTTTGTTGTAGTTTTTAGTTTAGGATTGTTTATTTTGTGTGCATATTTGGACTATTTGTTCTGTCATTGGGCAATCCTACCTATGCAGTTTCTTACTTATGCCTTTCCCCTTTTATCCTAGCATTGTCAAGACTTTGACAAGGAGAAAGGTTAAAATAAAGTAGGGTGGGGGGGGGTTGTTTTTGTTTTTTTGCATCACTGGTAATAGCCATGTCCATTGGCATCATCCAGCTTGCTGAAGATCTGAAAAGGGGCAGTCTGATCCTTCATTCTTTTTAAGCTCTACACTCTTGCTCTAAAACTGATGTATACAAGATTTATATGCAAGATGCACAGTTTGCTGTTTATATACAAGATGCACAGTTTGCTATTTAGCATATCTTTAAATGATGATTTATTGTAAAAATAAACACAATTTGTATTTAAGAACTCCCTGTGATGTAGATGGAGCATAGCCAAATATACTGTTTATATTAATGTTTCCATCATTCTAGACTTTCCATGGTGCTCATATTTGTTTTTGTTTGTAGGGAGCTGCCCTTTCCCACCAATATTAAATAATGCAGAAATAAAAGATGAGTTTAAAAGCCTCAGGGACTTTCCTGTTGGGAAGGTAATAGAATATGTTTGTCATCAAGAAACTGATAAAATACCTACCATTACTATTACCTGTGGTAAAAACTACAAGTGGTCAGAACCTAAAGTATTTTGTGAAGGTAACAACAATTTTGTTTTTGATGAATTTAATGATTTAAAGGTGTTTCTGCAGTATGTTCTGCTTGTTCTGTAAACAATGCTGAGTAATGTTTTTCAAATGTAGGCATAATATTAATGCAAATAGTAGCAGTTGAGATCATTAGAAGGGCACTTATGAGAAAAATAAGAACTTTTTATTTTCTCACTTAGTTACTAATTTTTGAGGGCTGCCTTTCCATCTAAGAGACTACCAAGGTGACTAAACTTCCACTAATCCAAATCATAATAATCTTGAATATTGTTTCAGGTACAATGTAATAAAAAACCATGCACACACAATTGAATTTACTTTGTGTTTCAAATTATCTGTGGAAGAAGCAATGCTATGGTACCTACACAGTGTTTGGTGGGCCATAATATACGTCGGATTCCTAGATTTAGGATCAGAGATAGAGAACTCTGACCCCTGAGCCAGAAATACAGGGTCAACTTCCTTCCCTGCCCCAGGCAGCCAGGGTGGGGGAAAAAAAACTGTACTAGCAGCCTCTCCAGGGTACTTTAGGAGCTAAAGGGGCCAGGGAAGGAAGGGATCACATCTTTTACTCTGCAGCCTCCTTTCCTCCTACTCCAAAGTGATCAGCCAGATAGCCCAAAACTGCTGTCTAGGGAAAATGCATAGATCAGGGTATGAGGAGACTACTCCGTACTGCATGATCATCATCTGAGTTTGATGAACAGCTACATAGGACTGCATCTTTACAAACATATGTGTTAATATAATAACAAAACACCTGTATAGACATATATTCATATTGTTGAGCATTGGTATAATTCCATCTTGACTACATAATGTCTTTTTCAAGTATCTGTGATTAGGTTTCTGTCTTTCATGAAATTTTAATTTATTGGGCTATGGTCATTATAATAGGGAGAGTAATTAACAGAACAAGCCTATGGCCACTAGACAACATTTAGATGGCCATAGGATTGTTGTAACCCCAGCTACAAGGTTAGAAAATTGCTTTGACCTTATGATCAGGGGTTTGAGTTCAGATCTCCCTCCTCTTCCTTGTAGTCACATCTGTTTAATATTATTACAACTTCCCCTTTGTCAGCTAGTTCTATGACAATATTGGGATTAAAAGTTTTAATGTCTGAATAGAGGAAACAGCATATTGATCAGAATCCAACAAAAGTTAGAGTATTATCAAAAATTTGATAGCAGTGTTTTTGGGATAAATATATGTTCTAAAATGTGCATCACAAAACACAGTAAATACAATTGTAGGAATATTAGAGTTTAGTTTTGGTCATATTGAACATCCAGTAAAGCAATTTATTAAATATTATAAAAAGATGGTAATAACAAAGAACCATAAAAAGTACTAGATAACTCAGTTGTTAACCAATAGCTCTAGACAACTTTCAGATCCTTTTCCTATGGAACAGATACTAACTTTATACCAAAAAGCCAACAGTGTGCATGCATCTCATGAGGGAGGGCATTTCATAATCTAGTTGCTTTTACTTGCAATCCTTGTCTCAAGTAAGAATGAAGGACTGGGATCATATGTTCAGCCTGAGATTTTGAGCATTAAGCTTTACTACTGACATTATGATTAGTCAAGAATACAGATGTATGATACTGGAAAACTGAGATCAACTTTAATGTCTCAGAAATTTTGAAATAAGCCTAGTTGGAAGTAGGTGAAGGATATTTTGGGATCTGTGCGTTAAGCTTTTGAACTTCCTTAGAAGGGGGCCCATTTTCATTTCATTAACAACCTTCTAGAAGTTGGTAAATACCTTTCTTTTTAGATGACGTGATTTTTTGTTTAATTTGTCCGTATTTTGTGAGTATTGGATTGCTATTGGTATTGTTTTTGTTGCTGTTCTCATGTTTTATATTATGTTTTTTAATTTTATATTTCATGTGGCACATTGGAAGAATGTTTTAAATTATTAAATTATTTGCTTTGCAATAAGTCAACTAGTACTCTTTGGAGATAAGGCTGAATATAGATATTTTAACATCCATAACCAGTAGTAGTTTTATTTTGAAGTTGGAAATGGCAAGGGATCCATCCTACCTGATTTCAGGAAAGCTGAAACAAAGTCACAACAAATATTTTGTCAACTAGAAAACAACACTGCATCTGGCAAGAATTAAGAGAATTTATAAGGGCTCTGCCCTTCTTCCAAGGCAGTGGTGGCGAACCAATGGCACATGTGCCATAGTGGGCACTCAGAGCCCTCTCTGTTGGCACGCGAGCAAAGTCACCCCAGCATCACCCCAGCAGCTGAGCATCAGATAACAATGCACATAGGGGCCATATGCATGCTCGGAAAGGAGTCGCGGCGCCAGGCAATGATGTCATGAGCCACGACTCATTAGCTGCGACTTGTCCGAGCTTTTGCATGGCCGGTCAGTGTGTTGCCAAGATATATATAAATTTGCTTGGACTGGCTGTGAGTTGTTTTTTTTTAAACTAAAACCTCTGTTTTCACGTTTTATTGCAGTGTTGGCACTTTGCGATAAAAAGTGGTTTTTGGGTTGCAGTTTGGGCACTCGGTCTCTAAAAGGTTCACCATCACTGTTCTAGGGGGTGTATTTTTTTCTTGCTTGAGAGGGGACATCATCTGGACTTAGACCTTGTCGATTTGTAATTGGGCAGTAACATAACGTTTCATGTATTTTTCTTGATTCACATTTTCTTTCTGGAAAAGTCAAAAACTATCCTTTTTCTAGAGTGGAAATACATGCAAATAACTTTTTCATTTTTTCTGTGTTCTTCATAAGTTCTTTAAGTATTCTTTTATTCCTTTGTAATCTAACTATCCAATTATTTATTTTTGATTTTCATGCAATTTCTGTTTGAAAATAAAGTATAAAATGTGGACTATGCAAGTAATAAATAATGCGTTAGTGGTAGGGATGTGTGAAAAATCTGTTTGTGGTTAGGAATCCATCACATTCCCTGTGCTCAGATCCCTGGATTCTGGTCCACTTTGCAGCAGCCCTGAACCTGAGTACCTAGGGAATATGCCTAACACTTGTGAGGTGCTCACCAGGAATTGAGCCCCACATGCTGTGCAAGCAGTGCTCCTCTCCCACGCCAAACTGTTGCTGTTTGGGTGGCTGCAACTGTACCAAAGAAGGCTGGTGGCATGGGGCTTGCCTGGAAAGGAGCCCCATGCAGCTGCCAGCAGCATCCCTCTTCTTTGTCAAATGATGTTGCTGCTTGTGCAACCGTGAGTACACAAGTGTTAATGGACTTCCTCTCAACTTGGCTTGTTTTGGAAGAGTGGGCTGAGCACAAGAGGAAGTCCAGCAATGTTTGGAGGGATGGATGCCAATAACGTTCACCCCACGCCTAGTTAGTGGTTTACAGGTTTTACAATTTTGTTGTTTTAAATGTTATTACAGAGACCCTTTGAAATAAAGATATAACTAAATTATAGTGATATAGTATAGGATTATTGGGTTAAATTCCAGGTTTATGAAGAATCATTCAGACATCGTGTCTTCAAACTGGTCAGTGTTTATTGATATACCAAGAATTGAATAACAAGTTAATGTATGAAACAGCCAAGAATTTTGTTTCAATTTCTGCACATTTGCAGTTTTCTGAAGCCTGTGAAGATTTGATTAAATGAGAATCTAGGAGTCTTTTTGACATGGATCTGGTTAGACAAAGTTTATGTTAATATTCCTAAGATTTAGTGACTCACTATTTGTATCAAAATATATGTAGAGATGGGCAAAGATATGGATTTTGCCCTGGGTCCCCGATCTCCTGCTTATTTCATGAGAACCTGCCTTTACTATTGCTAACCCCTTTGTCTTATTCCTAGTTTACATTTCTACTGGAATGGTACTAATCCAGTTATATTTTTAATGACTATATTTTTAGGGGGGCTTCTTTGATGACTGGAAATCAATTTTAGGTGGCTAAGATACAGTTTGGAGTAGGAACGATTTTTCTTATCTTGGGGTATGGTCACTATCTTAAAATTGGGATGCATGATTAATTGGATAACTGCTATTACTACTGCTGCTGCTGCGACATTGTATAATCCAGGTTTGTTGCTCTTTCAAGGAACTAACATGGCTAACATGGTTCTTTTCCTCTCCATTTTATTCTCAAAACAACAACACTGCGAGATAGGTTGGCCTGAGAGTCATGGACTGACCCAAATTCACCCAGTCAGCTTCATGATCAAGTGAGGACTGGAAACCAGACCTCCTGGGTCCCAGTCCTGCAGTCTTAACCAGTACACATCACACTGGTTTGACATTTTGGTATCTTAATAAGGACGAAGCAATTTTTATTTTCTAAGCACTTTTAATTAACAGTTGTAATAATGTTTTAAAAATTGTTTCAACAAGGTGGCTCCAGATTTATTTTAAATCTACCTCTAAAATAATTATTATACATTTTGCCAACATAATAAGAATTCTTTTTCAAGTGGAAAGTTTTAAATTTCTTTCTGGGGAATGGGTGACCTGTCTGGCGGCATCTTGCAGTGCTTCGCTACCTTATCTTGCTTAGATGTTTATAAACCTATGAGAGATTTCTCACCTCTCTGATGGAGATTTTATGACAGGGGAGTTTAGCTCTAATTACAGCAAAATGGCCAGATAAGGTAAACTGAAACATGTTGCAAAGTCGATCCCTCCCCCTACAATATTTGTCCAAGTTCTTTCTTTTTCTTTTCCTCTCTTTTTAATTTTATTTTTTGAGCCAAGAGAACATCACTTCAGTTTTCTGCAATTAAAGGCATTTCTTTTTGTGTATTTAGAAAGTTTCCAATCGGAAGTGGAAAGTTTCTTGATGATCAGCAGATCTGAAGTCTAGTTAGACCTTGATACAACTGATGTTTGTATGTGATTAGAAGGATGGCCATTGTTCTATTGCCATTTTCCTTCTCTGACAAGAAACAGAGTGAAGCTAGAGAAGTATGTTTCACGCAATGGGACTTTTGATGCTTCTGGATTAATTTGTACATGACTTATTTTGAAAGTTGATCTGCACTTCCTGAACAGCTTTATTCTGAAGCAAAGATAATAAAGAAGTATGAACCCTCCCACTAGACTTTCTTCATTTAGATATCTAGTAACTGTCTTCCATAATAATAGCCTTAATTAGCTCTTCTAAATGTAATCGGTTCAGCTCAGTGTCATTCATGCCACATGCACAAGCCAGTTAGGTGTGCAGTATCATAGTAAAATACGATAGTAGAATAAATGTTAAATAAAATGAAAACAATTGTTTTCTCAGGGACACCAACTTGCTGTTAAACTGTGGGAAAATGATTAATTTTTCACATCCACTTATGGTAGAAGGAAACTCTAGTTAGTTGAAAAGACATTAAGTTACAGGGTTCTTATCTCAGGATGTGCTCCATGTAGTCCCACACTTGGGAAGTTACTGCAGGGTCCTCAGAAAGCTGTGTAAAATTGGGAAAACAGTTTGCGTTTGCATCCCACTCCCCATGCCCAAAAAACATTGCATGTATGGGATGGGGCATATATTTCTCCTCTTTCTGGTAATACATGGAATCTCAGTAGGAAGGGGTTATTATTATTTTTCAACATATTTTTCCTTCTGCTATCTATTTTCCAATAATTCTTTATATATTAAGACTCTTCAATCCTATTTGCATGGATTTTGCCTTGCCTGTGCAGGAGCAAGTCTTGTTTATTTAATACTGTAAGATTATTCTTCTATACTCCAACCATCTTTAAATGTTCTACATACCTGGGGAGAGGCAAAGCTAGTATCCCCCAATTCAGTATCTTGTTGACCATACAGGGAGCAGCAGTAACAGAAAGCATCATCTCTGTGATTAGTTTGGTGAGATCTAGGGGTGTATTATCCTATCCAGTGCAGTGTGTAATGATTATCATCTCAGTATCCTTTTTTGAAATATGTTGCTGTTGGTTTCCAAAGACTGTATTTCTGTATGGTTCTTAAGATACTTTCATCATCATCTTGTGCAACTGCATGACTGTCCAAGAGACATGTTTTGTACTCATGTTTATTTGATTTTCTCTGTAATTTGCTTGATTCACAGTGCAGTAAGATTTGTTGCTGCAACAAAAGAACATATATCATCTTGCTTGATGAAGAATTATGTAGAACTTGATACCTTGTACAATATTTTTAACCTTTGAGTTGACCTACCAAATACATTACTGTAATAAAATGCTAGCTTTTTTCCTGGAACTTTTTGTCCAATCTGACTGCTATGTTTTTGTAATTTTTATAAAGCATGTGAGATGGGAGTACCATGTGCAACAAGAGCCAGAGTACTACATTTCACCATTTTAATAAGTGTTCAGAAAAATATACTGATTTATGACAAAGTATACATGTAGGCAAGCTGCAATGTACTTTCTTTAACAGTGTTTGTTTTCTAATATTTCTATCCTATAGGGGAAATGTGTGAAGATCCAATAGTTGAACATGGAATAAAATTAAGTGGATTTGGACATACATATACATATGGCAACAATATTACATTTGAATGCAAAATTGGATACTTCATGATTGGAAGTTATTTGATTTGGTGTCAGAAGGATAGTACCTGGTATCCTGAGGTACCATCCTGCAAAAAAAGTAAGTTTTTAAATACATTCATTTAGCCTTTTCCCTTACTCAAACATAATAAGCCACTGAAAAATGTCCCCATTGTGACATGATCTTTTTAATAAAAAGTGAATAATGTGTTGCATGCTGAAATGTATATGCTGACCTTCTTTTCCTCCCATCTGATATCACTTAACTTGGATCTTGACCAAGTTCAGGAAGTCAGTTGTACTCTATACACAATATTTGAGCATATATATTTGATTGAAAAATATAAAAGCACACTTAGAAACAGAACCTAGGGGACTATAGTGTATTTCAGATTCCCACTGCTAAGTTAAGAAACACAGAACTTGTCTCAGAATCAGGAGTCTGTGTCCCAATCCCCCGTTTGGACCCAATGTGAAAAGAATCTGTGAGGGATGGTTTAATTTGAAGTACTGCAATAAGGGGGTTGGACCCTCTGGCCCCTTCCAATTCTACTATTCTATGTTTCTATGTCAGCTGCCTTTCTGAGGTAAGGAGAAGGAATAAAGGGGGTGGTCTGGGGGAAGAAGTGACGGGGGCCACTGGGATACAAGCTATACTGACAGTACGTCCTTCACTTTCCAACACTAAACAACTTCAGATAGAGAATAAAAAATAGCGGTCTCACTAAAATGCAAATTGGGAGATGCAGGGAAGTGTAGATTGCCTTTACTGCAGTTCTATCTCTACACTTTAAGATTGTAAGCCTCTTCGTTTGGGAGTTTATAGGCACTGAGAGCTTCCTGTTGGAGAATTTTGTTGCTAGTCGTGAACTTGTGTCCAACCCATCGTGACCCCATGGACAACATTCCTCCAGGCCTTCCTGTCCTCCACCATCCCCCGAGTCCACTCAAGCTCACACCAACTGCTTCAGTGACTCCATCCAGCCACCTCATTCCCTGCCATCCCCTTCTTCTTTTGCCGTCAGTTGTTCCCAGCATCAGACTCTTCTCCAGGGAGTCCTTCCTTCTCATTAGGTGGCCAAAGTATTTGAGTTTCCTCTTCAATATATGGCCTTCTAAAGAGCAGTCAGGGTTGATCTCCTCTAGGACTGACTGGTTTGATCGCCTTGCAGTCCAAGGTACTCGCAGGAGTCTTCCCCAGCACCACAATTCAAAGGCCTCAGTTCTTCAGTGCTCAACCTTCCTTATGGTCCAGCTCTCACAGCCATACATTGCAACTGGGAAAACCATAGCCTTGACTATATGCACTTTTGTTGGCAGGGTGATGACTCTGCTTTTTAGTATGTTGTTTAGATTTGCCATAGCTTTCCTCCCCAGGAGCAAGCGTCTTTTAATCTCTTGGCTGCAGTCCCTATCTGCAGTGATCTTGGAGCCCAGGAAAATAAAATCTGTCACTATGTTGGAGAATACTGTGCTAATTAACTCCTGATACTTACAGTTATTTTAGTTGCTGAATTTAATTGTTGGAGAATACTGTGCTAATTAAATTCAGCAACTAAAAGAACTGTAAGTATCAGGAGTTCAACCCTGACATGAGATGATTGTCAGATGAATATTAAAAACAAAAATTGTAGCAGCTAATTGAATTTTTTATACATGGGGTGGAGAGCTGATTCCTCAATTGTCCATAGTCCATCACACACAGTTTTTTTTAGAAGATTTATGAAGATTTTTCCATTGCAGTTGATCCAAAATTATGTGGTGCCCCATTAATTCCAAGGGGGACTGTGCATCCATTGAAACCTCAATATAAAATTGGAATTATTGTTGCTGTAACCTGCAATCCACATTATTCTTTTCCTGATGAAACCATGGAGATGACTACAGTATGCCAAGGCTACAACGTGTGGGATCCTCCTGTGCAACCTTGTGTCTGTAGGTATAAACACAACTCTGAGGTATTCACATCAATGTTCTAATACAGTATTCAAGGTAGATCGTACTTCACCATTGTCAAAGTGTTAATTTCTCTTCCATTAAGTGAATAATGGATTATTCAATAGCATGCTCTTCTGCACAAATGTAATGATTTTAAGTTGTGACTTCGATAGTATAATTAATAGGCTGGGTCCAGAATCTGCCTCTGTTGATGGAAGGACTTAGCTCATGGAGGATACCACTATCCAAATGGAGGTTCCCTCCCAGCAACCTCCACTTACACCACAACTCACCAAGGCGGAACCTCTATGTGGTATCCTTAGGGAGCAGGAGGGATTAGCATGGGTGAGGAGAGGGCAAGGAATTCTGCTTTTGCCAGCTCAGTTGCATGTGCTTAAATCTGGATCTAATTTAATGTATGATATATTTTTATCCAGTGACATTTTATTGAAACACTAATATATTTCATTTTACCTGTATAAACTCTGTGTATTGTAATGAGTAGCCTTTTCTGTATTTCTTTGCAGGAAAGTTAATACCTTGTTATAGTGCTGCTAATTTAATACTTCCCCATGTTTATATTGGCAGTTAATGCAAGATGAGGTGCAGTAAAACATTGCAATATGAATTGAAATGACACATTGCTTTGTTTTCTGTGCAAAGGCTAGTCTAGGAAAAATGTGGAACCATCTGTAATAATTCTGCATATTTAGACAAAAGTAAGTCCAACAGTTTCCTGCATTGCTTATCCAGCCATTCTAGCTGCAAAATGCTAGGAGTTATAGGACTTTTTTCTAAGCAATTGCTTAGCATTGCTCCCTAAGTTGTTTCAAGTGGTGGTTTGTCTGGCTTACCATCAAGGAATTGTATCTTGAGGAGTTCAGGCAGAACATTATACCTTTCCCTATGAATATACTTGGGATATACTAGGATAGTGTTCAGCAAATATTATTTGAAAAGCATAGCTTGGTTTGCTTCTTTTGTTCATATTTGTACTGTAACACTATGCTAATAGAATAAGTAAGGGAAAAATTAAATCAGAACAAACAAAAAAGCAACTGAATTGGTATCTTTCCTCACAGCTTGAGAGTGAAGAGAGGACCAGTGCTGAAAATCAGAATGTCAAAGTAGAACCTGGTGCTTCTTCCAGCTATTTTATACTTTCTTAAGGTGTATGCAATCAATAGAGTATACAGTCATGTGGCTGTGACTTGAAAAACCAGGTGGAAAAAGATGTGGCCCAGGCAGTTGCATTTACACAGTCAACCTGATTATGAGTTTCTCTGAATGTCTTGTATCAGGTGTTAAAGCTGGGGTGCATTTGGGTCAAAACTTGAAAGTTAATGTTTTTCAAAGTACACTGCTCCTGGACACTAGCATCACAATCTTCAGAACTTTGCAATGAGAGAAATCCCTGCAGTGAGGGAAAGCTGCAAGATGGAGGTGGCTATAAATGGGTGTTTTCTAAAACTGCTGCTCTAGGAAACCTAAATGTAATTAAGATTGATTAGATCTGGGGGAAAGTGCTTAGAATCAAGCCTGCCAATAGTCTTTCTTCTCAAGAAGTAAGAAGGCAAATGTCAGTCTTATTATATGTAATTTTTAAACACACTCTTTTGCTTTAAGGGCTAGGGTCACAGCACAGGATTTTATTACTGTTTTGATGACAAATGCTATCCATGTTGCAAAATTAAACTGTTTCTTTTAGGCTTTAGTTCATAATCATTTATTTGTGTTTTCAGTTAGAACTTCACAAGATACTTTTCAACTGTCCGTCCATAATGGAATGATTATCCATGGGAAGAAAAATAATTATGAGCCTGGAGATAATGTTACTATTAAATGTTATGCTGGCTATACATTGGTAGGGTCATCTGAGATTCGATACATCGGTGGGAATCAATGGTCACCTAAAATTCCATCTTGTTCTTTAAGTACGTGTGAGGTTTGTAAATATATACTGTGCTTAACAGACAGCCTGTATAAGAAATGTTAGTCTTTTGTTTCCTTTTTTATTTTTCATTAGATAGGAAATCTATTTCCTTTTACTAGCTTGATTTGTAAGTATATTGGCAGTTCATTTGATAGTAGGGCACTGAGTAGGACTGGAAGGCCTTGTAGAATTATTTTTGATTCTTTGCACAAAAAGATTTTTTGCAAGTTAGGAATAGTGCATTTTGCTATAAATGGCAAGAAGTCTCATTCCTAAAGGATAAGTGAAAAACAAATCCCATTTCTAGCAGCAGTTGGTTGTTACCACCGTGGTGAATGTGGAAGAAGGTGCAGTTTTTCAATTATCCAAGTTAAAAACATTGTAGGGACCAAGATAGAAGAGGTATCTAACATTGATTAGAATATTTACTTTTTATAATGGAGAGTAGTTCTGTTGCTGTACCTCCTTCTTCACATGCATATGTGAACATGTGTACATACATGGTCCTAGAGATCATTAATGAAAGGTCTGAATGTGCACAAAATATCTATGTAGCAGTCTTTTAGAAACTGAGAATAACTATTGGCGAAATCAAGCAAGATACTCATTAAGAGTGCAACATTATAAAGTGTTTTTATAGATTTTTTCCTAAATCACAGATGCACACATTGCAGAAGCAAATATGGTTTGGTTAAGAAACTTGTCAGCAGTCGGAGCAGGAGGGGAACCTTAGACCCAGGGCCCAAATTCAGCCGAGATGGCCATGCTTCCATTCTCTATGATCATCTCCTTTCTGGTAACCACTGATTAATCCACCCAGTGGGCAGAACTTGATATATTTAGGAGGAAAGGAAAAGAAATCGAAGAGAATGAGTTATAATTATCTGACTTAAGAAGGAAAAGAGCCCAAAGAATTTTACTTGCCATTTACTTGTCCAATTTTATATGTTGTTGTTAAGTGTCATCAAGTCATTTCTCACTTGAATGAGTGCTTTCTGAAATGTTCTCTTTGACAGTCCTGCTCAGTTCTTGTAAACTCAAGGCTGTGGGATTGATCCATTTCATATTTCGCCTTTCTCTTTTCCTGCCTTCAGCTTTCCCTAGCAATATTGTTTTCTCCTGTGAGTCTTGAGTTCTGTGACAAAGTTATGACAACGCAGGTATTCACAAAGCTCTTTTCCACCTCCATGTTTCCAATGCATCATTTTCTTCCTGTCACCTTCCTTCAGTGGCCAGATTTCACATCAGTGAATAGTGATTTGGAATATAATAGCATGGATGATGTTGTCCTTGGTCTCCAGTGAAATGTGCTCATATTAGATGTTCTTTTCTAATTCTTTCATTGTTGTCCTTCCAAATCTCAGTCTTGTTCTATTTTCTGAACTGCAGACTCTGTTGTTGAATTTATGATTGAGCCAAGGTACACAAGATCTTACACAACTTCAATTTCTTCATTGTTGACATTAAAGTGTATTTCTTCTGTTGTCATGATTTTCATTTTCATTTTCTTAATGTTCAGCTATAGTTCTGGATTTGTACTTTTTTTAAAACTTTGGTGCCTGTTTGGGTGTCAGGCATTTTGGTGGAGGATAGTCCCATAGCAATTGTGATTGATAGGCTCAGAGGTGTATCAGCAGGTTTGTTATTAATGTTTTTATGTTTTACATATTTTCATTTATCTCTGGGTAACTTTAGGGAGCAAGCAAACTTTAGGGTTGCCTGCATTACTGTGGTGATGGGTGGGGGAGGTATGGCCTTGTGGGATCAGCAAGTAAGCTGAGAAGAGGTTGATACCTTACAGCTATCCCCTCTTCTGGTTCTTCTCCCCACCAGGTAATTCCTGGCAGCCTTACCAGTTTGACCTCAGGCCTGTTGCTGCTGTTGCTGAATGCCAGGTTGGCCCAGGATAAGATGCTTCTCAACCATGGCTTGATTGTGGATGAGGAGGCGGACCTGACCTGCATTATTGAGACCTGGGTGGGTGAACTGGGAAGGATTACTCTCTCTGTGCCCCCCTGGGTACTTGATACAGCACCAGCATCAAGTTGAGTGCCAGGGAGCAGGGGGTTGCTGTGGTCTATGGGAATACAACCTCCTCTAGTCTTCCTGTTTACTTGAGTACAGGTCTTGAGTGCTTGTATCTTGTGCTGGTGTACTGCTCACCCCACTAACTATCAGATTCCCTGCTGAGCTGATGGAGATGGGCTCAGACCTGGTGTTGAGGACCTCCAGGATGGTGTTCTGGGAGATTTTAATCTCCATGCCAAAGCAGCCCTATCCAGGCAGCTTGGTACTTCATGGTTGCCATGACAATCATGGGGCTGTCTCAATATGTTATTGGCCTGACACATGTAAAAGGATACACCTTTGATTTGGTTTTCTCGACTGGGCAGGAGGATGGTGATCTGGAAGTGGGGGGATTAACATTAACTGCTTTGTCATGGTTAGACCACTTCCCTTTGAGGTTTAGACATTCGGCTCCTTTTTTCCTCTGCAAGGGTGGGGCACCTTTTAAAATGTTCCACCCCCAGAAACTACTGGTTTCCAGAGGACTCTGGGGGAGTTTCTGGCTGGTATGCCTGGTGCTCTTATTGAAGTTCAGGTCACTCTGTGGAATGCAGTCTTTGAATGTTAATACACTTTGAATCAAATTGAAACTTCAACTGGCAGCCAATGTAGTTGGAAGGGGACTGGTATACTATGTTTGGACAGTAATTGCAGTGGGATGGTATAACTTAGTGTCTTGCAATAGCAGGGGGTTGGACCTGATGGCCTTCTAGCCCCTTACAACTCAACTATTCTATGATTTTATGCACTTGTAAGCCTTACCATTTTCAAAGGCGGCCATGTGAACAGTGCACCATAGCATGACTTACTGTACCTAGGCTCTGTCTGTCCAGGTAGGGTCATAATATGTCAGCTTAAGCTGATAAAAGGTGCTCCATTACACTGAGTCCACATGTGACTTTAATGACAGTTCTGGATCCTGGATCCACCCCCAAACTATGAACTTTGTCCTTTAGGGGGAGTGTAACCCATCCAGAACAGGTAGAATATCACCTAGCTGGACAGATACCCCCCAACTAACAGCAGCAGCTTCTTGTCTGGATTGAACATCAGTTTGCAGGCCCTCATCTAATCCATTACTATGCTCAAACACTGATTAAGAATGGCCACTGCCTCACCTAGGTCTGATCTGCATATTGATAACACCTCAGCCCATACCTCTGGATAACTCTTCCCAGCGGTTTCATGTAGATGTTAAATAAACATTTAATTCTCTTTTGTTTCCTACTTTTGCATTCCAGTTATTTACAATTATTGTTTTGATGTGCCATCAGTTTTCTCCTGAGTACTTGTATAAAAGTTTTCAGTTTCTTCTGCATTTCTTGTTTGAGCATAGAGTTGAATGATGGTTATGTTGATAGGTTTTCCAAGAGTTCTGGTTGGTATTATTTAGTCAGACTTGCATTATAGTTGCTTACTGCTAGTTGTACATCTTGCTTCAGTATTGGAGCCACTCCATCATTTCCAGATTAAAACATGTTGTGTTTGTCTGACTGAAAATGTCCCATTCCAGTCCACTTTAGTTCACTCACACCAACTGCAATGTTTAAGCATTTAAGTTCCATTTCTTGCTTTACAGTTTCAAGTTTGCTTTGATTCAAACTTCTCACATTTTTTCAGTTGTATGTGTTGTGCAGCATCATACTTTCCTTTCTCCTCAGTGCCTGTCAATCACTAGATTGCCTTTTTCCTTTTAGTTGTGTTTTTAGCAATTGCGCTATTTGTACTTATTGTTTGCTGTTCCACAGTAGCTCACTGAATGCCTTCCAACCTGGGACTCTTTTATTCTGGCACTATCTTGTTTCATTTGGAATTGTTTCATAATAGGTTTTTATGGTAAGAAATGTTCAAAAGTGGTTTACCATTTTCTTCTTCTGTGAAGTACTACCTAGAATTAGCTTGAGAGTCACTGCTGTTGTCTATGGAAGATCCTCAGCCAGTATAGCCTTCATCTACTGCTGCTGTCCTTCAGAGGTTTCTCTGCCCTTATCAGCATTAACGATATCCATTCTCTTCTGCTGATGTGACTGTTCCTTTTGAAGAGGGTAGAGGCATCTTAGTCTGGTGTCTCTACTTTGACTATTCTACCTCAGGTGCTTGAAGACCAGCCATGTGAGACCGTCTAGCCTCATGGCAGCGTTGCTGTCAGCTTCTCTGCTAGTCTCAAACCCCTTCCAAGTAAGGTATGCATCCAAGGGGGAAGCTTTTAGATATAAATTAAAAATTGTGGCAGTAGTTTTTCAGACAGATGCCATCCTACAGTCCTGATACACACTGCATATCTGCTATTAAGTAGTTGCTTGTGTTATTGTCTGCCTGTCTGCTTATGTTAAGGGACATAATAGTAAGTGATATGTTTAGCATCATATTAACTTTGACCCCAAAATGTTTACCAGTTGCATATATAATTAACCTTTACTTGCAGTAATTTAGCTAATAATTATACTAATTTATTGATTAATTTAGTTAAGATGTTGTGACTGCTCATTTTGAATGATCAGCCTTTAATTATTACAAAATGTTAGGTTTGTAACAACTTATACAACTTCTTTCCTTCCTTTTCTAGGTTTTCTCTTCGTGCTGCTTATAGCTGGTATGTATTTTCTTGAACTAATGGGAAGGCAGGACAAGAATCTTATGTAATTGCATATATTCATACAATAGGAAAATATATTTAAATTTTAAAAGTGACCTTATCCAGTCAATATTAAGCACTGTCATGTCTCACATTTCAGTTGGAGAGATTTAAGCACATTCTTAACTTTTCCTGTGAAACAAGTAGGAATTGGAACATGCTCAGCATTGGCTGAATATGTGTTTGATGGAGGAATTCAAAACAGCCCAGTTAGACAGGCAGAAAAGCCCTTCTAGTAAAAAAAAAAATGTTAGGGGTAAGTCCAGGCAGGCAAAGAACTGCTCCACGGCTTATTGTGCTATGTGTAGGATGACGGAGGACTGTAAATGCCAAGTCTGGGGCCTTATGATCACTGAGGGCACAACTCACAGGAATATGCCCACACTCTTTGCTCTGTGTCAGATAGTATTCATCCCTCTCTGTGTGTAATCCATCCTTTATGCTTAACAAGACAAAAGTTGAAATGAGTGGTAGAACAGCATGGGAGAACTACAAGTTGATAAAATTCAATGCATGATCCAGGGCAATGGTGCTAAAAGCAGGAATGCACACACACAAGTGGAATCTCTTGAATATTAAAAACATTTTCAAAATTATACAGGAATTGCTTGTCTCCTAGATGGTTCACTGGCATCACATTTGGTCAGCTGTATTGGAGTCCTAATTGAGTATGACCAAAGTGAACCAAATGGTTCCAGGCATTGCCTTTCTCTTACTTGACCTTTCCCATGTCCACATTGCCAGCACGGTGGGACACCTTTTATTACTGTCTTCCTCCATCTTCTATACTTGCCTTACTACCAAAGGATTCAGGATAGTAGATGCTAAAACGACTGTGTTGTTTTCTTTGGCATGGTGTCATTTTGAAGAGATGGCATCTGCCCATAGCAACTGTGTGCTGTGAATCTCCAGATGTTGCTGAACTGTAACTCCCATCATCTCTTTCCATTGGCTATGTTATCTGGGTCAGCTGCAAGGAACCAGTGCATGCACACCAGGCACAGTTACTTTTTTTCTCTGGTGTGGGAAAGTGTAAGTGGTGCTGATACAGTGGTATAGTTTCAGCAGGACCTAGTGTGATATGGTGGTCAGAGTGTTGTACTGGACTTGAGAGACCTGAATTCTAGTCCACACTCAGCTATGAAGCTTACTGGGTGTCTTTGGGCCAGTCATGGACTCTACTCTCAGCCTCAACTAACTTGCAGGGATAAAAGGGAGAGGAGGAAAACCTTGTAAGTTGCCTTGAGCGAGTTATTGAGACTGGTAATCAAACCGTATCTGACATTTGCTTGGTCCTTGTGTCCAAAACCTACAGGTAAATACCATTACGTCTAAATTACAAAGCCAATATGTGATGTCGTTATACTTATGGGAACTTAGTTTCAAGCAATGATATTTAAGATAAGCTTTATAAATCATTTTTTCCCAAATAAAATGAAGCAAATATATATTTTTTGCCTTAGGATATAGACAAAGTTAGCATGATTCACACAATAGCATTGTCTGTGAAGCAACTCTGGAGATGATAACATATCAGCTATTCTATCTCCATACTACAGAAAGAAAAAGGGAAGTTATGAAATCATTATGTGCTTTACTACCTATTTTTTGCTATTGCCTTGCCCCCAACACCCCCCGCCCACTGCATTAGTTCTTAAAATGACTTGTGTTTTCCTCTGTGTCCTTATATTCTTAAAGCATGTTCAATCGTTGTGTTATGGCTGCCAGCTCGTTCAATTTATCTGAAATATTGTTCATAATAAAGGTAAGGCCCCTTTTACCAATTTCCCCTTTCCTTTTTGAATTTCTAAGAACTATTTCATACATACATAAATAGAAAAGAATCTGCTCTGTATCAACTGAAGTACAGTGTAGTTTTCCCCCCAAATAAATACATTGACTAGGATGCTGTTATCAGTGAGTCAATGATAACAGCATAAAAGACCATTTATGTGGCACTTCAGATTGTGTATGTTGCCATCCACATAGATATAATTAATGTTGAAAAAAGAAAAGTAGTTCTATGAAATAAGGTGCTGTGGATTGGTATTTGGCCTACGCTCAGTAACATTTTAGTTCCCACATTTTGGCAGCTGGCCTGTGGTTCTAAAAGTCCATATTCAAAGACAGACGGTTATGAGTACTTTAAACAGCTTTCCTGTGAGGTGCTAAGCTTTGACAAGAAAAATAGCTGTCCACTCCAATCTGCTTTGTGGAAACTCCTCTTTGTTCACTATTAAGGCCCTGTTTAGTCCCAGCCATAGGGATAGGTCAGTAATCACTGCCATTAATAGACAGCTAACTTTCAAGATAAAATTTTAATTTCCAGGGTTGTGAGCCAAGATAAACTTCTTTGCTTTTTAAGGTAATGCTACTATGTTAATTTTATAGGTAATAAATATTCTTCTGCCAGGGAGTTTCACTTCATCCCCAGCAATTCCAAATGGAAGGAAACAATACAGTGTCAAGATGCTGCTAGCATCTCCTTCACTTTTGAAAGAAGCAAATACAAGGAAAAGAGGCTGAGGCCAGGTGAGCCAATTCCATCCATGGCTGACTGGCTTCCAAAGTAAACCTCTTCCTTAGGGTGTATATTTGTACATGCACAAAAGCAAAATCAGTGTGGATAGCCTGACCTGATTCTGCTAGCAAAAATTTGAACACATATACAAATACAGTTGCTCAATTTCAAACACTGCCTCCGGATCTGAATTCTGTTGTGAAATGTAAATTACATAACAGAAACTTGTTCTGTATACAGAGTTAACAAGATATAATACTTTTTCTAACAGCCTGTGATAGATGCAACATGATTTTTTTAAAAGATAGAACTACTCTTATATTTTATGGTGGGGGAAGACAATAAATCATATATTTCATGCAATACCTTCCTGAACAGGAAAAGGTTTTTTAAAAATTAAAAAGTCCTGTAGAAATTATTTGAAATAAAAAAACATATATTTTAGTAGCATAATAATCATTTTGAAAATAAAAAGTAATTGTAGTGTTGGAATAGTTTACAGTTTATTTTCTGTTTTCTTGAATCCTTTTTATTGATTCATTGCTAACACCGTTTTCTTCCATCATCCAGCAAAAAATGCATGCAAATAATATGATACATATACAGTGTTCCTCAGACCTGCATCCTGCATCCATTCCACATACTGGGGTTACATTTACACTGTAACAGGTAAGTGTTACTTTGAGAGTTCTTCCAGACTCTGTCATGTTAATTAAAATAAGAAGGTATTATCTACTTAAAGTGAATGTAATCCCTCCACATGTAATAATGCAGATATCATTATGGGCCTGCTATGTGCAGAAGCATGTAATTAAACACAGCAGGTGACTTTAAAAAATGCTTTATATAAACTATGATTGCCATTATCTTTCTTACATTTATGTTCTGCAGTTCCTTTGAAGAGTAAATAAAATAACTTTGCAAAAACCTTGTAAGGTATGGTACCTAAGGGGCAGTATCTTGTCCAAGGCTACCAAATAAATTTCGTAAATGAAGAATATCGCTAGATACTGCAAAATCTATCTAGTTAACACTGAGGACTAGGGGGAGAAATTCATATATTTCAATACAAGCCCAGTTACTTCACAGGTTCTTATCCAGTACATGAACTGAAACAGTTATTCAGTGACTGCACTTTGAATTTGTGATGCAGTTGCTCACTTAAAATAATTGTGACTTTCCTCAAGCTAGAATACGTTTTGAAGTGTTACATGGGTCTCAAGCATTTTACTGTTGGTTTCATTTACATTTGTGTTCTTATACATATATATCTGACTGACATAGGTCAACAAACTTTAATTAAAAGTCATAGTTTGTGGCAGCAGGGATGAGGGAACCCAGTTAGAAAAAGGCAAAGTAAGTCAGAATTTAAAGGCATGAAATGCATATGATTTAATACAGGTATACTTTGGTTCCAGGCAACCCCAATAGAGTGAATTTTGCAAAAGTGAGTCACACATTTTTTGTTTCCCAGTGCATATAAAAGTTTTGTTCATACTGTATTGTAGTCTATTAAGTATGTAACAACATTATGTCTAAAAATGTCCATCCCTTAATTAAAAACAATTCATTGCTAAAAATGTTAAACATCATCTGAGCCTTCAGCAAGTCAATCTCTTTGCTAGTGGAGGGTCTTGCCTCAACGCTGATGACTGCTGACTGGAGACGGTTGCTGAAGGTGGAGTGGTGGTAGCAATTTCTTAAAATGAAATAATGAAGTTTGCTGTATCAATTGGATCTTCCTTTCTGAAAAGATTGCTCTGTAGGATGTGATGCTGTTTGATAGCATTTTACCCACAGCAGAACTTCTTTCAAAATTGGAGCCAATTCTCTCAAACCCTGCTGCTGCTTTATCAACTGGATTAATATTCTAAATACTTTGTGATCAGTTCAACAATGTTCACAGCATCTTCACCAAGAGTAAATTCCATCTCAAGAATCTTTGTTCATACACAGGAAGCAACTCCTCATCTCTTAAAGTTTTATCATGAGATTGCAGCAATTCAGTCACATCTTCAGGCTCCACTTCTCTTGCTATTTCCACCACATCTGCATTTAGAGGAATCTCTATCTATGGCTGCTATGACCTTACGAAAAATATTTCTTAAATAAAACTTGAAAGGTGAAATTACTCTTTGATCTGTGGGCTGCAGAATGGATGTTGGGTTAGCAGACATGAAAACAACATTAATCTCATTGTACATCTCCATTAGAGCTCCTGGGTGACCAGGTACACTGTCAGTGAGCAGTAATATTTTGAAAGGAATCTTTTTTCTGAGCAGTAGCTTTCAACAGTGGACTTAAAAAAACCAGTACTTCATGTCGCAAACCTTGATGTGCTGTCATTCAGGCACAAGCAGAGTATATTTAGCATAGTTCTTAAGGGTGCTTGGTTTTTTGGAATAGTATATGAACATTAGTTAAAATTTAAAGTCACCAGCTGCATTAGCCCCTAACAAGAGAGTCAGTCATGTGAAGCCAGGTATTAACTTCTCCTCTTTAGCTATGAAAGTCCCAGATGGCATCTTCTTTCAATATAAGGCTATTTTGTCTGCATTGGAAATCTGTTGTTTAGTGTAGCCACCTTCATCAGTTATCCTAGTTAAATCTCCTAGATAACTTGCTGCAGCTTCTACATTAGCGCATGCAGCGTAACCTTGCACTTTATGTTAGTGAGACAGCTTCCTAAACCTCATAAACTAACCTCTGCTAGTTTAAAACTTTTCTTTGGCAGCTTCCTCACCTCTCTCAGCCTTCATAGAACTGAAGAGAGTCAGGGCTTTCCTCTGAATTAGGCTTTGGCTTTAAGGGAATGTTGTGGCTGGTTTGATCTTCTGTCCAGACCACCAAACCTTTCTCCATGTCAACAATAAGGCTGTTTTGCTTCCTTACCATCTGTGTGTTCACTGGAGTAGCACTATATAGACTTCCTCAACACAGGGTTACCACAAACCTTCAATTTGTAAAAAAAAGGCAACATCTGCAAAGCACAATAAAGCAAAGTGCATTAAAATAAGGTATGTTTGTATAGAAATTGAAAAATTAGTTACATAGGCAGACTGGACTGATCAATCCTTGCTTAAATCTGAAGAGAGGCAGAACTGGGAAGAACCTAATTCCAAATAAGGATAGCCAAGGATAAAATAAGCCATATAAACAAATGGAGATCCTCACTGAAATTAGAGTATATTGGAGTATAAATAATGCTGTCTGACAGCAGAGTGGCTTTCTTCGAAAAAAGGAACAGTAGAAAAAGTGTTAATAGTGCAGGTTCTATCTATATCAGATATGCAGCAGGTCACCCTTAGACGTGGAGGTTTTTTGGTGGGAGAGCCAGAGAAAATGTTCTGTGAGTAGGGGAGCTAGAAAAAGTTGTCATAGGCAGCTAATTACCTGATTAGACTAGATGTTCAGGTTTATGTTATTTGAGTTGTATGCTGTCCAACTGGCAAATACCCAGGTTGTTTACAATCATAAACAACTACAACAATATAATTCATGAATAAATATACAAAACAATAATACAGTGATACAGATACTGAAATAATATGTAACATTAAATATTAAAACTGAGGAGCTAGCAGTATAATTAAAAGGACAACATATTAAGGTTAAATGCATGGTTAAATCTGGTGTCTAAATGCAAGTATTGAGGATGCCAGGTGGGTCTCCCTGCAAAGGGCATTCCGAGGCAAGGAGCTGCTACAAAGAAGGCAGTTTCCCTGGTAGCCATCACCGAGTTCCCCAGTACTTCCTGCATTTTGCTTTTCTTCACCAGGGCTTTAGAAGGTGAATTTGATGATTTAATTCTGTTAGTAAGAAGGCAGAGATTACTCTTGTCTGCATGTTTCTCGAAGTTCTATACATCTTATACAGAAAGTGGGACATCCTTGGATTATATATATGAAAATAGGGCAGTCAATCTGGTTTATTGCTCTGTATGCCTAAAAGTTTGCATTGTATACAGTACTGGACAAATTGGAGATTCTTTTCTTATTGAGGTATTAGAGATGTAACTTAAAATAGCAGCATGCCTGAGCCACTTCATAACTGGCATCTGATCTGTAGCCTTTAATATCACATTTTTATATGTGTGTTTATTTTCTTCTGGAGGAAAGATTGTTTTCCAATGACTAAATTTTTGCTTTTCTTTCACAGCATTGGACAAAAAAAGTAACATTCTCAACAGTATATTACAGGTATCAAAACAGAGTGGCCATCTACTGATTTAATTAATCTTACAGCTATATTGATTGCAGTCAGTGTAGTGAACTATGTCTTTTTCATGGACTCTTGATGTTCCAAGAAGATTGCTGAGAAGATAAAGACATGATGTATGCTAGACTATCAAAGATGTTTGAGAGTCATATGAACTTTTGTGCCTCTTCTGAAGAATGACCAATTTAATAATGAATGTTGGAGCTTCAGCACTCTGCAAGGCTCTATATGGACAAACCATTTCATTTTCAAACCACTTCTGAGGACAAAACTATGTGTTAAAAGAACACACTCTGCCTCTGAATATGTAAATCCTGATCTGATTTCCTGTCACCCCAGTGGCTTCTTCATTGTTTATTTCCTGAACCATGCCTGAACCAGGATATTGGATAACTTGTACTAGATAATATAGAATGGGCAAGGGAACTTGAGACACTGTTGCCATTTTTCATGAGCTTTTCAATTCCACCATGACACTGTTTCACTGTAATCTATAATTCTATATGCCCAACTATTTCAGTGATTCAACTGTAGTAAATGACAGCATGTCAGGATTACCTATGATCATATTGGTGATATATGCTTAACTCTTTTATCAAAATTGTTTCAAATTTTAGAAAGTTACAAAAGTCACTTTGGGATAAAACTGTATATTTGAGAATGATTTTTTCAGTGGTTTAACTGACTGCTTGTTTGAAGCCACAGGGTAGAGCTTACATACATACTTTTTTTTTTACTTAAGACTGTGTACTTAATCAAAGATTTTAAGATTGAAATGGTATTGTATGTTACTTGTTAGAAAATATCATGCATATATATCAATGTGAGATGTTCAATCACTATTTAAATGGTGCTTAGATACTATGTCACCATGACCCTTTTTATGCAGTTAATAGTTCTTCCTCACTAAGGTACAAATATATCTCTCAATCCAAAATTTACTGTGATTAAATTTATTTACTTATGGATACCATAGGGAAAAAACCCTAACAATGTGTTAGGGGTATCAGACTAAATGTCCATGTAGTTTAGTATTGTATTTGTCAACAACACTCAGCCTTTACAAGCTCATAAGCAGATCATGAAAATTATGGCCTCCTGTTGTTTTCCACAATTATCTTTGTACTTAAAAGTCATACTCCTTTCAATATGAAGATTCCATTTAGCTTTCTTGGTAAAAGCTGTTGATAGGGCTATCTTCTATGAAGTTACCTTAACACTTTCTAAAGCCACCTACGATAATCACATTCAGAATATCCCTATTGTCACAAACTGTTTAGCTCCAGTCAAGTGTGGGCAGCTGGGGCCTTCAGGATATTTTTGCCTACAGTTCCCATCAGCCTTAGGCAGAAGGGCCAATGGTTTAAGATAATGAGACCTGTAGGCTGACACATACGGAGGCCTACTCATTGCCACTCTGTTAGCCAAGGTTAGGCAAAATGCTGCTTTATTTTTTACTTCAGCATTACCTGCAGAAGATAGTAAAGGCTGAATTTTGTTAAACTTTGGAATGTTCCAAACTGGAGTGAGGCTTTCAAGATTTGTTAAGCTAAGAATGATTTCACTCTCTGGGATGTTTTAAAGCTAGCTCTGATTTTAATTGGGTTTGTATTATGGGTTTGTTTGAATGTTTTGTACATCACCTTGGGAACCCTGTTAATGTAGAAATGTGATTTATAAATATTTTATTATGAATAATAAAGAATGCCTAAAGAACCTCACAGATTGGAATTGGCATATGAAAAGCATCATCAGAAGACTGATGATATTGTTAAAATACAATGTTAAGACTAAACTGTTAATATACACGAGGAAGGGAACTCTACTATAGGCTTGGATGTTGTATCACAAATGAACTCCTTTTGTAGCCTAAATATTTTCCCAAGTCTTAAGTATTCTTGGGTGTTCTAAACAGCAGGTTCTGTGAAAATGTGTGGAATCCAGAAGAGTGATCATTGATGCATAGTTCTGCAGTTCAGACCAGTTTCATTAACATACATGTTGCTTTGTTTTGCCCATCCTTTTTTGGGGGGAGGGGGGGCTGCTGCTGTTAATTTGTCCTAAATCAGCAACATTGGGGGACCTTTGATAGAACATAACTTTCCTCCACTTTTGACATTCAAATGCCAAGTCATGGCAAGATTCTTACACAACAGCAGCGAGGTTCTTTGTAGTCTCTGTTTATCACACATGCAGGCTTTGTATGGAGCTTGTTACTGGGAAAATTCAATAGCTAAGAGCATTTTGATAGGAATCCCTCCCTGACCCCAGCATCCAAAGGCAGAAGCACCTGCCATTTCTCTCAGTTCTTTGATCACCTTCAGTTGGGAGGTTCTCTCTTGTTCCTCTCTCAGAGTGTTTCTCTAATTCTCTTCAGTATTCTGAATGTCTTTCTCTTGTCCTCCCATGTTTTGTGGGTGGGTGGGGGGACCCTGTGCAAACTTTCTTACCTAACCATTTACCTCCCTTAAAAAACAACAAAAGAAATCCTTTGCACCTTTTTTTACTATCTTCATCTCCTCAAGCTGTTTCTTCTCCTTTCTCTTTATACTTGCCTTTTCCTGATGGCACTGAAGGGACCTTTCCCTAAATGTGTCTGTTGCAAAGCTAGGCTGCCCTCAACTGACACGCAGTCTATGTTGCTTGGGCAAAGGGCAAGTTGTGGACCAACGCCTGCACTACCAGACATTTTTTAATCAGGCACATAAGCAATGGGCCCAATGTCTCCACAAAGACCTCTGAAAGAAGGCTCTTCTTGCAGTCAACACCTCAGACATCTTGCCCATCTATGGCAACTGCTCTTCATTCCATGAGGCCTATGCTATCTGTCATAGCCATGGCTCCCTCCCATTGCTTTCTCTCTGGCACTTTCACCGTCCCCAACTCCAGGCAAGACAGCGAAGCTTTGAAAAGCCAAGAAGTTACTAAATGGGCCAAAGAAGCACAGTCCAAAGACCCCAAAGTTTAAGCAGCACTGCCTCATTGGTGTCTCTGCATCAATACTGAGACTCATCTTGGTGTTGGTGTTGGAAGAAGTAGTCAGGGAAATGCTGCTGTCTCAATCCCTCCCATTGGCCACAGTCTTGGGAGCACCTCTTGTACCATCCCTAGCTCAAGCACTAGCAGAGCCATTTGGTACCAAGGACTACAGGGAATGCTCCCACTCTGATCTCAGACTAGGACAGGAGGCTTGTTTTACTGATACTGCAATCATACCCTGGCTTCGCCAACCTGTGGGGTTTCTATCACCGGAGTCCAATGTATGACACCAGTACAGACCCTGCCCCCCACTACCATCCCAACATTTTCAGCATTATTTTTTAAAATCCCCATAAAGAAAAAAAATACAGGCTTCAGAAAGAGAGGATTACCCAACTCCAGTAATCTTTTGTTGCCATCTTGTGGTCAACTACAAGCTGTGTTGAATGAACAGATCTTTTACAAGGAAGCTTCTTTGGTGAGCATACTTGTAGAAATGGCAGTATTCATAAACTATGGAGATTATGTTCAGATGAAGAAAACATTTTTAATCCCCAACTCTTATCAAATTACATAACCTGAGAACCGAAGTAAAGAGCATTTTTCCTCTCATAGGGGAACTCAACCCTTCAAGGGCTTTTTTTTTCTTTTTGAGAATTAAACCTGTCCATTACTAAATCCTGAGTGCTACTAGAAGTCAGTCTACAGAAAAACTTCAGGTTCAGATAGAAATATTTCTGGAAAGTATTACCAGCCCAACTTTTACTATGAATAGGTATGTCATATAGAAAAAACAAATGATAAACCTGAGAAGACACAAGACATATCCACATTCCACGGGAGGTAGTTGAAGCCCCATCAGTAAGGTTGTTCAAGGATAGGCTGGACATGCACAGGGTAGGCATGTCATAAGTGGTGTTGGCTGTAGCCACGAGTCAGACTAGGTGGCCCCTTCTGATTCACTCTATTTCTATAGTATATCATTCAGGTGCCAGGACACAAGAGAGAGATTCCTTCTGCTAAGTGAGTAGACAGGTTAATTTTCATCCATTTAGCTTTAAATCCAAGCCAGAGAGCTAGAGAAGCAATCATAGCCATAACATACTGAAGATTAGTACTATACGTGTTTTAAATTCATATTCTCAACCAATAAATTGCAGATATTAGCAACATGTCTAAAGTCCCTAACCCTGTTGCTTCATATAGGAACATACTGCATGAAATGGAGACTTCTTTCTGCATTGAATGCAATGGCCACAGTTCATATTTTTCATTTATAAAAATACTAGCACTTGAGGCAAAGCATGGGGAGAGTGCTTTGCAAAGGGAATAGTTCCTTTGACAACTGGTGTCATGTTTATCACCCACTTAGAGTAGTAGTGGCCTCAAAAATGCTGGTTGATGTTAACACTGCTAAATTGAAGTGAAAGCTAGTTATTCAACTGAGAAGATAGCGATAGCTCAGGCTCTAGAGTTGATGGGTTTACTTCTCGAGTGGTAAAGTTCTATGAAGTAGCCCAGTGTCCGTACACAAAGCTTTCGGCTTTCATGCAGGGTGGGGGCAGTCTCAGTGTTCCATGAACTCACATGCAATTTGTATTTGCAAAATAATTGCTTTACTGTATGTAACAAGTAGTAGTTGCTGGCTAGGTGTGAACTTTATTTTATCCAAGGATCTTTTGCTGTTTACAAGAGGCACAATGAGTTTGCAAATCTGGAGGCATCTACAGTGGGGATAACAGGATTGTGTTCAGGGTGGTTTCTGCAACTAATAGCCAGACCACTAAAAGAAATTGTTCTGAGAAGACTGTGGGGTGGGGACATATGATATTTCTCTATAAGTACCTCAAAGGATGTCACAGAGGAAGGTCGTGATCTCTTTTTGCTGATACCAGAGAGTAGGACATGGAATAATCAACTCAAGGTGCAATGATCCTGATATTCAGAATAGTTATCAGGAAAAGTTTCCTCATTTTCAGAACAATACAACAGTGGAATCAGTTGCCTACAGAGACTGTGAGCTCCCCGACTAGAGATATTCAAAAAGAAACTGGACGTTCATCTGAGGGATGATGTAAATTGGTGACCTGCAACAGCAGGGGGTTGGACTTGGTGACCTTCTTGGCTCCTTCCAACTCTTCTATGATGCATGTAGGTATTATTTATTTATTTATTTATTTAAAACATTTGTATGCCGCCCCATTCGCCGAAGCCTCGGGGCGGCTCACAACATAAATTAAAATATAATACATTAAAAATATAAAACAAATTAATATAAAATAAGTCGCCCTGGCCAGATAAAATAAGCAAATAATATTAACAATTAAAATGACATTTAAATAAAAAGGTCGTTGCCTGGCACCGAAAAACAAATAATGATGGTGCCAGGCGGACCTCTCTGGGGAGCACATTCCATAGATTGGGTGCCACCGCAGAGAAAGCCCTCCTCCGAGTACT